GCCCACTCCGCTCCCGCGGCCGCTCCTCCCTCCGCCCGGAGAGCCGCCGGCGGCGGCCGGAGAGGCCCCTCCTTCGCGTCCTCCTTCTTTCCCTCGCTAGCGCAGCCGCCGACCCGGCTGGGCCCGCGACCCTCCCCGGCCATGGCCGGCAACGTGAAAAAGAGCTCAGGCGCGGGGGGCGGCGGCGGCTCCGGGGGCTCGGGCGCGGGCGGCCTGATCGGGCTTATGAAGGACGCCTTCCAGCCGCACCACCACCACCACCACCTCAGCCCGCACCCGCCGGGGACCGTGGACAAGAAGATGGTGGAGAAGTGCTGGAAGCTCATGGACAAGGTGAAGGCCTGCTGGGGACCCGCGGCGGGCGCGGGGTGGGCGTGGGCGGAGGGGCCGCGGTGAGGGGCGGGACGGACGGACGGACGGAGGAAGCTGGGGGAGGGGTCGGGGATCCCGACGCCGGGGGACCGGGGGCCGTGGGGGCGGGGAGGAGGCCGGAGGGCCGGGGTCGTGTGGGGGAAGGGCTGCCGTTGGGACTTGGGAACGTTGGGGTGCTTGGGGAGCGAGACAAAGGTGGGTTGGGGGCTGGGGTGAGGGTTGACTGGTAAGCCACCGGGGCGGAAGTGCGGTGGGGGTGAGGAGTTTGGGGCTCCGCAGGATGCAGAGATGTGGGTCGCGAAATTGGCCCTGGGAGACGAGAGGGATGGGGTGCGGAAGTGTGTACTGTAATTTACCGGTCAGGGCTCCTCGCTGGATGAGCCGAGGTCTGGTTATAGAATTAGGTTTATGGGCTCTGATCGAGGGATGTGGTGTCAGGACAACTCCGTCTAACTGTGCCCGGGGTGAGCATATAGTTTTTTCTCTTTAAAAATAACATACAGCATCAACATAAAAGAGAGAGAGAGGATTAAGTGGGGCAAGGAAGGAACTTTATGCCCCATCTGGCTCTGGTTCAAGTACGTTGTTATCCCTCGAAACTGTCTGTGCTGAGATATGCACTGATTAAACCACAAAGTTCTGGTTAGAACCATTATCTGCTGAAAGGTGGGTTGACTAAGCCTGCTAAACAGCACATTCTCCCTTGTTCTGACTTCCTCCCGAGCTCGCTGCTCACCCTTTCAGCTGGGCCCTACTTGTTTAGTAACGGGCCGGCTCCCTATTATTAAAGGACCTGACTTGCACTTGTTCACTGAGCCTATTCCTCCCTCCCCCACCTTTGCTCAGCAAGTGCGGAAAAAGTATCTTTTCAGTAGAGCCCTTTAAGTTTGTCACTTGGTAGAATTTTATTTCTTTATAGCGTGTCTGTGTAATGAAATTACAGCAGTTAGCCCCGTGTACTTAAGAGTGTATAGGAAGTCAAATATTTTGTTAGTGTTTTACTGACGTTCGTTTAATAATAATTTTGGCCAAATGTATACTGCAGATGCAAAGTGATTGGGAGGATCTGGCACATGAGAGTGGTGGTGTTTCCTCCACCACTAGTTTTCTTGGTTCCTCTCTGGGCCGAGGTTCCTCTTCTGTAAATTTCTTCATGGACTGTTTTGGACTAGAAGCAGCTAATAAAATGATTATTAAGCACTCGGCGAATATAAATGTGCTATATAAATGCTTAACAAGTCCTGTGTGACAATTAACACTGTGATAGTGCATACCAGTGGTTTCAGAGCCACTTTTTCAGGGCTGATTTTTTCCTCCTGTTAAATAATTGGTATTGCAGAAGGCCCTGGGTTCCATCTCCAGCACCCTCCCCCGATGGTCTTGTAATTGATAACAAGTGTCAGTTATTTTAGAGTATAATACTAGTGTTATATTGATTGTATATAGTGTACAATATGTTGTTTATATACATTGTAGGTTTTTTATATTGAGTACTGTAGTATTACTGTAGGTTGACTGTATTAGTGGTGTAGTACTGGTATTATTATAAATTATAATAAATCCATTACAGAAAATTAGGCACGTAAGGGAAACTTTAAATGTGCTGATATTTTTTTTTTTTTTGTAATTTTTAAAAATTTTTTTGTCTTTTTAAGATTGGGTCTCACTATGCAGTTCAGGCTGGCTTTGAGCTTACTTTGTAGCCCAGGCTGGTCTTGAACTTGCAGTGATCGTCCTGTCTCAGCCTCCTGAGTGCTGGGATGACAGGCGTGGGCTACCACGCCTGGCTAAATGTGCTGATACCTTTTAAAAAATGTTGAAGCTAGCCGGGCGTGCTAGCAGGGCGTGGTAGCGCACGCCTGTCATTCCAGCACTCTGGGAGGCTGAGGCAGGAGGATTGTTGTGAGTTTGAGGCCAGCCAGGAGTACAAAGTGAGCTCCAGGCCAGCCTGAACTGCATAGTGAGACCCTGTCTCAAAAAGTTAAAAAAAAAAAAAAAAAAAAAATCTACTCAACCAGGCTTGGTGGTGCAGGCCCGAAATTCCAGGACTCAGGAGGCTGAGGCAGGAGGATAATGGAGAGAGTTTGAGGTCAGCCTGTGTTACATAGTGAGGTCAAGGCCAACCTGAACTAAATACTGAGATCCTGTCTGAAAAAAACAAACAGACAAAACCAAAATAAAAAATATTGAATGTATTCAAAACCTGAAGTTTGTAGGTTGATGTTTTAGATATTTACTGTTAAGGACTAAAAAGTTTCCTCTAGTATAGAAAAAAAATGTATATTTCTAATTGGGTCTCATATAGGACATGTGAGTATATCAAAATTATACTGATAAGTTACCCCTCATTAAAAATAGTTTTTTAAACTTTTATGCTACTATAAATAGAGAATAAATTATAAATAGCCCTATTCTACATGATAGTCTCCCTTATCCCTTATCTCTTTAAAGTATGTGTATAAATTATGTATATTGAGCCGGGTGTGGTAGTGGTGGAACATGCTTGTAAATCCCAGCATAGAGGGAGGCTGAGGCAGGAGGATGGTAAGTTGTAGTTCCACCTGGGCAATTTAGACCCTGTCTCAAAATAAAAAATGAAAAGGGCTGGGGTAGCCTAGTGATAAAAACCTCTGGATTCAAACCTCAGTACCCCCCCAAAAAAACCCAAAACTTTGTTTTTTTTTTAATTTTTCTTTTTACCCATTCTTTTTGTTTTGTTTTGTTTTGTTTTGTTTTGTTTTGTTTTTCCTGGTACCGGGAATCAAACTCATGACCTTGCACTTGCCAGGCAGGTACTGTGCTGCTGAACTAAATCCCCAGCCTTAATTTTAATTTTAATTTTTAGTTTTTTAAAACCCAAAACTTTGTACATTGAGGTTTTTTTTGTCTTTTTGAGACAGGGTCTCACTGTGCAGTTCAGGCTGGCCTTGAGCTCACTTTGTAGTCCATGCTGGTCTCGAACTCATAGTGATCCTCCTGCCTCAGCCTCCCGTAGTGCTGTGGTTACAGATGTGCGCCACCACCCCTGGCTGCACGTTGAGTTTTGAGTTCTTCTACAAAGTGTTTGTTTGGGGGGAATAAAGTGGACTCAAAGATTTGAGTGGAAATGATTCAGCTCGCCTTGGTAGTTTAAAGGACAGTAGGCTTTTCTGACGGTTTCTATTCTATCCTGGGGAGGCGGATGTTGTATTCTTGTCTTGCTTGTCTGGGAAGCTGACCTCAGTATGTCTGTGCCCTGTGTCACATGTTACTAGTTGTGCTGAAACAGACGTGGTGCCTTCTGACGTATCAGTCCTGTAGGTCCACACTGCCTTCCAGACTTTCTCAATACTTCTGTCAGTTTGCCAGATTGCACCATCTTTTTACTCTTGGTGTTTTGAGCATAGGGAGTTTTCTTTTTTTTCTTAATTTTATTGCCAAAGATCTTTAATGGGTCACTGCACCTTCACATGGCATTAAGTACTGGTAGGAAAGAACTTACAGTCACATCCACAGATGTCCTGTATGTTTATTGAATTCAGTCTTTTTTTTGTTTTGTTTTGGTTTTTTGTTTTTTTCCAGTACCAGGAATCGAACTCATGACCTTGTGCTTGCCAGGCAGGTGCTGTGCCGCTGAGCTAAATCCCCAGCCCCTTGAATTCAGTCTTTCTTGTTCGGTTTTGAGACGGGGTCTCAATATGTAGCATAGGCTGGTCTCAAACTTGTGACCCTCAGGCCTTAGCTTCCTGAGTGCTGGGATTACAGGCTAGGATTACGCCTGGTGAATACAGTCTCTTAAATTGCATGCTTTGTCCTTATCATTGAAGCTCAATGACTCCTATTCTAGCCTACTATTAATCAGTTTATTTATTGACTCAGCACTGGGAACTGTCAGTCTCCTTCCCTCGCCCAGTACTAGAGGTATGCAGATAGAAAAATAAGCTGAAGTCGTGCATTCTGGTCAGCATAAACCCAGCTCACTAATTTACTAATACATTATTGAATTTAAACTCACAGGTGGAAAAATGCTTATGTTAGAACACTTACTAATCAAAAGGTAGGCATGCTCAGCGTCTAGGGTTTTTGTTTTTAGTTTATTTTGCTTCCTCAGGATATTGTAGTAAATACTTGTGTATGGCTAATAAGTAAAGAGGAACCGAGCAGGGAAGAGGAATGGCAAGTAGAGAAAGTCATAAATGACCTTAAATGTAAATGTCAAAGTACTAAGATACTTAAATGTAGTGAGAAATGTAAAATTCAGTGTGAAATACAGCAAGGTTGGCAGGCTTTTTCTTTATAGTGAGGGACATAGTACTTGAGCCTTTGTTGGTCACATGCTTGAACCTGTATACTCTTGCTTGTGTTACAAGTCTTTAGAAATGTAAAAGTCAGCCACATATGGTGGCACATGCCTGTATTCCCAGCACTCGGGAGGAGCACTGTGAGTTCCCCGCCCAGCCTGGGCTACATAGTGAGTGCAAGACCAGTCCAAACTATGCAGTGAGACCCTGTCTCAAAAAAACCCAGAAAACACACAGACCAAAAACATGTAAAAGCTGCACTTGGCTTGCAGATGTACTAGGGGAAGAAAAGCTGCATGTCATAATGTGTCCACCCCCAGAATGGCGTTGTGCTGGTAGTATTGTAGGGCTGCACTATATTTTTATTTTATTTTGGTGCTAGGGATGGAATCCAGGGCCTCACAAATGCTAGGCGAGTGCTCTGCCGTTGAGCTGCAAAGTCAGCCCTGTGCCCTCATTTTAAATTAGCTGGTATCATTAAACATTAAGGTATTTGTATTTACTTTTTTTTTTCCCCTAGTACTGGAGATTGAATCTTGGGCCTTCACATTGAGCTACATCCCTAGCCCTTGAGACAGGGATCTTAAATTCTACTTAGGCTGGGGCTTAAACTTGTGATCAGTACTTCTGCCTCAGCTTTCCTGAGTGCTGGGATTATAGGTGTGTGCCACTACTTTTGAT